CCTTTAAAGGTTACAGGGAGTCTTTGCAGACACCTTTCAAAATACTTTGGGTGGAAAAATCTATTTAAGATCTTAAAAAATAATTTGATCTCAGCAGTTTTGCAAACACAAATACTTATTAGTCACTGCTTTTATAAAGCGGTGAACCACTCTGAGTTGTGTCTTTCTCGCTACAGCATGAATGCAGCATCAGTGAAGGATGATTAATGAAATGGCAGCTCGCTTGTCTCAGGTCCCGATATCATCCAATCCTCAGCCCCCTTTAGCACTTTGGCACGGCCATCTACGAGACTCATCCTCCAATGGGAGACTTTATTTCCATCTGGAGGTGGGCCAGGATCACACATCTGACATCATCTTAAGACTTGGCTCAGTTGAGCCAAGTGCCAGAATGACACTCGGTCTCTCTCACACACAACACACACACACACACACACACACACACACACACACACACACACACACACACACACACACACACACACACACACACACACACACCACACACACACACACACACACACCACACACACACACACACACACACACACACACACACACACACCTGCTCCACAGATAAGATGAGGAGAGAACTGTGATGTCTTTGTAGGGTGTGAAAGTCAAGCGTGTGAATGTATTTATCGGTTTTAAAGATGCGTGTTTTTAGATGTGTTGATTGGCTGGGGATGGTGGGTACGGTATGTGAAGTGGGTTGTGTGTGTGTGTGAGAGGCAGGATGGCAGGTGAGAAGGAGAGAAGTGTTTGGAACAGAACGTGTTAGAGTGACACAAATGGCCTGCAGAAAGGGGGACGATGGAGGAGAGAAAAACATGTTGGGGGTGAAAGAGAGACTCAGACACTTTTAGGGCCGTTAAAATCACCAAAGATATCAAATTGGACAATAAAAAGATTGTCAATGAGCATATTTGTCTCCGTATTATTAAACTTGACATCTTGGAACAAGCAATTTAGATATGTCACCTTAGATACTTTAAACCCAACATTTGAATAAAAAGGAAACCAATAATATCTTCTATTTGTCTAAATATACTGGCTTCCTCCAGTTCATTAGGAAACATGTCCATTGCTAAAAAAAAAGTGCTTGTAAACGCAATGTAATCTAGGTTACTGCAGTGCATGTAAACTCATTCTTAACTCTTTCTGTAACCTGATTTTTCTCAGTAACCTGGTTTCTTGTTGCATTGATAATGCCAAACCCATAAGGGCTTAGCAGGGTATCTCATGTTTTACAACATAATAGAAGCATCCATGTCACTTCCAATATGCCAATGCTGAAAAGAAAAAGAGAGACAGACGGGAAATCACTTCAAAAGTTCCACCGTGGGAATGCTTTCCCATTCATCGATTGTGTTTAGAAGTGTTGTGACAGCTGGCTCATAGTCTCTCTTTTCATGTCGTGCTAACAGAGTGTGTGTGTGTGTGTCCAAATGCACCCGTGGTACTCGCCGGGTTCTGCCACCTGCTCCGTCTTTGCCACGATTCTGGCGCCGCCGCCCAAGGAGTCCCTAGCATTTCAGCTTCGTTTTACACCCCTGCCAGGCGTGCAGCGGCATGGGGCCCGCAGGAGTTTGTGCTCGGGTTCATGAGCGCCGCCAAAAAGCTGTCGTCGTGAAGCATAAGTCTGGCGTCTTTCCACCTGGACACTGTTTTCCCATCTGTTTCCATCCCAGTGATCAATTCTGACCCAAAATCATGTCGGCTCGACTTATGCAGACCAACAAGGGGGACATTATACTTTTGGAATCCGACCTGAAAGCTTTCTACAAAAGCAACACTTGCTCTCTAAAGAGATGTTTATTTTTTAAGTGCCCTTGCAGTAGGACAGCTAATACAATTATTGTCAGTATAAAATAATAAAATAGTAAGAGACCATCCAGACCTAAAGTTGTAGCTTGTACATATGATTTTCAGAAAGGATTTTTCAAGATATGTCCACACAAGAAAACATATTAAAAATATTTTCTTTAACAGCCTAGTTAATCTAATTTATGATTGTGGGACATGTGGGACTGTATATTTGACAAAGATACTCTACTGGTGTACTGTAGTCGAGCAATACAATTTAAAACATTTAAAGGGGACACTCAAGACACATAATAAATTAGTTTTTTTGAGGTAATTCAATGTATTTGTAATGGGCTTTAATGGCTTTTAAAAAAGAGTAATGTTCTTAACCAATAAAGAAGCATTTACTATGTCATCAGTCTAACTTTATAAGAGGAAATGGAGGAAGTGGGGCACTTATCATTAGCACAGATAGCCTGGTTAACTGAACAGACAAATAATTCCCAGTCAACAGACGTCACACTTTTAAAAAAAAACTTGAAATATTCATATGGAAACTTTTGACTTCCTGTTTAGACAGCAAGAAGCAGGAATGTGAAGTTAGTCATACTAATTGTAAGAAATTAAATGAATACGTAACGAGATATGAGACTAAATCACACATTTTTTTAATGTTAGAGCAGTTTAAGACACGTAAGTGGAAAGTTTTGCACTTCTTTAAAATCCCTTACTAAAATAAATATGAACATCCGAATTGTCTTATTAAAGGTGGGGTAGGTAAGTTTGAGAAACCGGCTCGAGATCGCTAGAATTTGAAAATACACAACCGGAGAAAATCTGCCACTTCCTTATAGAGCCCCTCCTCCAACACACACGAACGTGCACATGACCAATGAGGGCACGAGATAAGTTTGTGCACAGATGGAAGGCTGACAGGCAGGTAGGCCATCCAGTTATTTTAGCCGGGCCGGCTAAAATGATTGGTCGTGCTTTTTACAGTACTACGGCTTCCACAGATGACATTTTTTTATGGATTTTTTGTCAAAGCACTTAAGATATTCATTGCTATCGGGATGTTAAGAGCATTCCATGAAATATAACAAAAAGTGTATCTCGAGCCGGTTTCTCAAACTTACCTACCCTACCTTTAAATGAAAAGGAGTAGCGCTTGGTTGTTTCACTGTCGTCAGTGTCATCACGCTCATAACGTTGCTGTAATGAAGGGTCTTTTTTATAAAACTGTAGCTATTAAATGTAAGCTGCTCTGCTTAAATAAGTAATAACTGTGAAGTGTAAACGCTTTGCTTGTAAATATGTGTGTAGATTCCAAAATATGAGGGATAGTGAATGTAGTAGAGTTGTGTGCGTAGTAGTGTCTTCATTATATATTATATGTGTGTGTGGTGTGTAAACCAGTGAGTGCGAGCAGTGTGTGTTTGATGTTCCATTTACCCTGTTTCATAATTCATGGAATGGGGTAGGATGGACAGAGCGGAGGTGTCTAAACGTGTGTATGTGTGTGGGGGGTGGGGGCAGTATAACAGGATGAGTGTTATGTGGGCGGAGATGAAACAGACAAGAGTGTGTCTTTGAAATGCAAAGAGTGGCGATAGCGGTGATTGGCCACTGTGTTGAGGAGGAGCAAGGAGTTTTTTCTCAGCATTTCATCATAATACACACACATACTCTCTATCACACACACACACACACACACTGGTTGTTAATGACACCATTGTTAAATCATTATTATTTTATTTACCTCTGTGGCACAGAACCCAGGCTAATTTGGAGCAGCTCTGAGCTCGGGAGGATTGTGTTCTTTTTGTGTGTCTGTGTTGCATTCGGTGTAATGCTGGCTTGCACACACACATGCACACACACACACACACACACGCACACGCACACACACACTCTGGCTAGTGGTGGGGCCTGGGGACCAATTTATTTACATGCAGTGGAAGAGGAACAGAGGATTGGAGGGAGGGATGAAACAAAAAAGGAAAAAGAGGTAACGGCAGGGAATTATGGAGACAACCCAGAGGAACGAACAAGTTTCTCTACTGTTCCCAAGGACAGACAAGACCAATTTACTATTTAGATGGCTCAGCCTGTGTGTGTGTGTGGGTGTGTTTTGTTTTGCCGGTGTCATGTGATTTGTACCATATTTCCAGAAACACTGCCTTCATCTGCACCCAACTGTTTTACTTCCTCTGTTAAAAAGTAGCTAGATTGAAGTTAAATCTGCAAACTCCTCTGCAGTGCCAGATACTCAGTATGGAAATTGGCAGCAGTCAATGGCGCTTCATCTCCAAAAGATGCAATCGTTATCTGGGAAAATGTACCAAAAATGGCTGTTAAATGGTCACGCTTTAGTACAATCAGTTTGAGTGTTGTTGTTGTTGTTGTTGTTGAATGCTCAAGTCTCAACGCAGCTTAGCACATTTGGAGGAGGAATCTGAGGCACTTGTTTTAATATTTTGTGTTGCTTTTTTAGATTGTATATTTGCACCCTTACTGTGTTCATAGTTGAACAATGTCTTAGCAATACAGTCAAGATCACAACAAGTCTCTGTGTGTACTCCATAGCCGCCATTTTTTCGATTTATTTCAAACCTTTATTTATCCAGGTTGTATCCCATTGAGATCATTGACCTCTTTTTCAAGGGAGACCTGCTCAAGTAGGTTCCACATGAAACATTAAAAACATAAACAGAACAACAAAAGGACATCATACATTAGCATTACAGGGATTACAATTTACATAACTATCCACATGCACAGGTACCAACAGCTTCCGATTGAGTAGCATCCAACCGAGCTTTAAAAACATTGAGTGGCACCAGATTGCTCAGTTTCCATTTTAATTGCAGACTATTCCAGGACAGTGGAGCTGCGCATCTAAATGCTATCTTCCCTAAGACAGTCCACTGCCATCATGGAGAAAATGTCTTACTGGTGACCGTATTGACAGCAGAATGTCATCAGCATACAGGGAAACCTTAAATGTCTTGTTAGTGGGAATGAAAGGCTGACCTTGGTTAATATCGATGCTTTTTGAATTTTTCAAAACAAAAATTCACCATCTGTAACTTTTATTATATCATGTTTTATATGACTTGTATTTTATTTATTTTTGTATCAATATCTGTGTATTTTTTCAAGTATTAATAAATCCCTTTCTTCTTGTCTTGCAGGCAGGACGCTAGCGACCTCTCCGGGCCGATTCAAAGGTACTGTTCTCTGTTTTACCCCTCACTTCTCTTTCTATTGGCCTGTCCTCAATGGGGCATACATTCGGACCAAACACTGACTACATCTTTGAGTATATAACTCAGACACTGGAGTGGTGTTGGCGGTCTTGTTTTGGTTTTGGGGCATGTGAAAGGATAGCAGAAGGATGATACTACATTGTACGTAGAAAATGAGAGAAATAAAGAGAGTTGAGAAAAAGGGAAATTGGAAATGAGAGATTTGACACGGCTCAGATCTACGACCGAGCAGAGTCATTAAACTGAACCCTTTGGCGATGGGGCGACAGATCAAGCAAGGGGGGGAGAAGGTTTAAATAAGGGCCGATCTTAAAATAGCAGTACCTATTTCTCATCTGGGGCATAGTTAACAGCATGAATATCCTGCCCTGAAAACCATCAATGCACTCCCATTCCATCCAACATTGATACAGATAGAAGGTAAAAAAGGTTCGAGCACTTTTTACCTGCTCGAATCATTTAACATCATATGAAGACACTGAATTATGTAGCACCTATAATGTTTCATGATCCAGATTATTATCAGAGATAATGCGTTCTGTTGCAACAATCGTTAAATAATACAGCTAGTTAGATCCGCACATGCAAATGTTAATGACTGGTTATCGACCAAAGGACCTAATGATAGAACCTCATAAACATTTATAGGATCCGTAATGCATCAGCAGTGGCGGCTGAGGTATGGTCATTAACCATTATTATTTGTTTGTTTGTGTTTATTTGTTGATCGGACCCTTGGAATAATGCAATATTTCGCATACAGGGTCATATTTTTAATACTGGCAGAAATATTAAGTTATAATGTGTTCTTCTGCTATGGATGAGTAGTTTAGTTGCAATAGGCGTATTTGGGATGCGTAGAATCGCTTATATTCAGCAGTTTTCTGTGTTGTTTGAGAGTAAAATTGCATCTATTTAAAGTACATATACACTACAGTGGTTACATGATGCTTCAGGTATTGTACCACATTATAATAAATGAGTTATAAGTTGAAGTATATCTTTGTTTTTGTGTTGAGAGCACTCCATACATTGAGAGACAATGGCTGAACTGCATTTACAAACCATGTTATCAGGAAAAGCAGACAAACATTAACGTGTAAGGAAGAAAGTTATGAATTGGTTCTCTTCGACGAGGCGGCAAACAAAAACAAGACAAAGATGACAAAAAGTTCACAGTGATGGATTATCCATGTTGAGCCAGTGAGTCTCTGCGAACAGATTTGCATTCTGTAATGAAATGAACTGAGTCTAATGGCAAATGTTAAGAAATCCATTTACAAAAAAAGGTTCTGTATATTACGAAAATGCTCTAATGTAGAGAATATGTGATTTTAATGGGGTGAATCTTGCTTGACTACTGATGTAGTCCTTTAAGTAACTCAATGGCTATATAGACTTAACTTTTACTTTTTATTTATGACGGTTTTTATCATTTTAACCTCTAAATAAGTTCTGTTGGTAGTGCAGTAAGCAAAGGGATGTATTGTTGTGCTATGATGATCAATTCTTCGACTGTCTGCACCATATCTCATAAGATAATTGAAAGACATTGATTTGAAATAATAAAACCCCTATATATAATCAGACTAAAGCTGCTGTGATGGTATTCACGGGCAAAACGCAGCAGGTAAATCAGCCAAGATCAAAAAACAAAATCCGGCACTGAACGAGATGCCGGAGGAGAAGAAGCAAACACACGGCAGGAAGAAGAAAGAGTCGATGTCTGTGGCTGTGAATAATTAGGCAAAATAGTTAGCTTTTGTTTTTCTCTCTGATTGGAGAAAACAGGCGAGGCTGTGACTGGCACATGAGTACACACACACACACACACACACACACACACACACACACACACACACACACACACACACACACACACACACACACAAGTGATGTGTGTTAGACTCTAATCCACCACACAGCTGCGTCATTTCTGAGCGGGTGTTTACTTCCTCTCTGCCTTCACCACTATCACAACCACCACTACCATCTCAGACACCCCACAATCCCCAGCAAACACACACACACACACACACACACACACACACACACACACACACTTACACACACACACTTACACACACACACACACAATCACACAAAAGAGAACTGGGCGTATAATTTGATCCTCTGCTCTCTCCTCCTCTAATGAAGCTCTCTGGCGGTTTGACTGACACCCGGCTCGTTATTTAAGTGTCTGTTTTGGGCCAGGAAGAGGAAGAGGCGGCGGAGGAGGAGAAGGAGGAGGAAGAGGAAGAAGAAGGGGGAATGGAGAGTGAGGGATAGGAAAAGTGGCAACAAGGGAACTGCAAGAGAGGATGGGGTTGGAATTTGGAGGATGGGGATGGATAAGCGGAGGACAGGAAATGAAAACAGGCGGGAACGATGGAGTGGAGATGGAGGAAAAGATAGTCCTGGGAGTCGTAGAGAGCGGGAGAAAAGGAGTCCAGTGGTGAAAAGAGGAGGACAAAATGAAATAGAGTTTTTAAAAAAAGGGCAACAACACAGCAATCAGGAGAAAAAGAGACAGTTTGGGAGGAGAAAGCGGATACAGGGGTGATAAAGGGTGTGTATTTGAGTGTGTGCGTGCAAGTGTGGGTATAATTGCAGGTCTTTGTGCTGATAATGTTCTTTGAAGGCACACAGCTGATAATTAGCAAGCGTAGCTCCGCGGATGCCTTTCAGCGTCGGTCATTATGAGCCGCAAACCCACTATTGCCTCTGACACGACCTCCTGAGACGGGGGGGGGGGACGAACGCACAGGCACGTATACCGCCCTCGCGCGAAAAAAGAAATACAGAAATTGGCGTAAACAAGCTTTGATTAGCGTATGAAAAGCATCAGCTCATGAGTGGAAGAGATACAACGGTTCTCTAAAGGCCTCGAGTTCTTCTTTGGCACGAGGGCTGTGTGTGTGTGCGTGGCGTACACACACACACACACACACACACACACACACACACACACACACACACACACACACACACACACTTACTGTGTCACACACACATAGACAGAAGACACTATAATTACAGGGATTCGCACAATGTGGCGTCCCGGTACGCTGCGTCCGTTATTGCCTCCCCGGTTGCCACATGACAACAGCGGTCCCCCCTACCACGGAGACTGCTCAGTGCGCCGTTCCTAAATCCTGCTCCCCCCCCCCCCCACCCCCTCCGTATTCCCACATCTGAATATTTATGAGAGGATGCACGGCAGAAGACACAAGACACTGGCTGGAGTATTCTCTCTGCTCACAGTGACAGTTATCATTGTTTAAGGCTCCCTTCCTCAGCTCTAATTGATCCCCCAGTGAGGAAATGTCCGTTGAGAGGCCGCTCTCCAAAACAACCACTCCAAGTCAGCACAGCTAGCAAAAAAAAAAAAATGCACCGTCATTTTGACAGCGAGGAGGAATCTGATCGTTTGGCACCAACTTATGGCAAAACATGATGACTCATGTGTTCTGTCAATCAGGAGAATGAGGCAGACTTCCACACAAACACACTGATGATGATTTCACGGCCTTGATTATGAAAAATTAGACCATCTTTGTCTTGAGGCAACTTCTTGCAGATGACGGCTAAAGTGTATTGCCAAAGGAAAGTGTTTTTAACATCACCACATTTTCTCTTGGTCTCTTTTACAAAGAAGCAGGCATGGAAGTGTTTGTTTTTAGTGGTGACAGAAAACAAATAGATGGATATCACCAAACCTGAACAGGTAAACCAACTATCGACGTATACAGAGGTGGGAAATAGTGGAGTACAAATACTTTGTTACAGTACTTAAGTATATTTTTCTGGTTTCAGTATTTTACTCCACTACTTATTTTTCTGACGACTTTTTACTTTTACTTCTTAATATAAAATACCTGTACTTTCTACTTCTTACATTTTCCAAACAGGCTGGTTACTTTAGTTTTAATCTGTGTTTGGTGGCGTGATCATTATTATTTAGAGTCATTGCGCGCCTATTGATTTGAACACGATCAGTGTATCAATCACTTCCTGGTCCTGGACCAATGAAAACGTTGTCATGTTGCCGTTGTTCAGCATCAAAACATTCATTAGCTAACAATGACATTATTGTTCTATTAATATAAAGGGAGGTCAGGTACTCCTTAAAACAGCTGGTAGTTATGGGTACTTTTTACTTAAGTACATTTCGAAGCCCATACTTCTTTACTTTTAATGAGTAAAGAAGTTTAGTCAGTACTTCTACTTTTACCAGAGTATTTTTAAAGACGAGTGTACTTCCACTTGAGTAAAGGATGTGTGTTCTTTTGCTATCTCTGCCAAATGTTCACAAAGAATCAGGCATGGAAGTGTTTGTTTTTGGTGAAAGAAAAACAATAGATGGATTTCCCAAAACCTGAATAGGTAAACCCTAACTATCAACGCGTACTCGAGGTGATAGAATATATATACAATTTGTGTGAATTGACCCTTTAGGAAGTCCCCCCCCCGCCCCCCTCTGTCCTTCATTTCCCCACATGGTGCGAGTCTGTCTGTGCACTTCCACACTCGCAGCAGGGAAAAGGGGGATACAATTCTCACAGGGGTTTTAATTGTGGGAGGCTGTGCTGGTGTCATGCTCGCTGTTCATCAATTTTTCATACAAACACATGAATTATGAAGAGCTGCTAATGATGGGGAGGGACCGGAGGGGGGGTTTCTGCAGAGAGCTGGACGGCCGTTTAGACATCTTCTCTTCCCTCACTGTTTCCCTCTCTCTGTCCGACTGACACAGGTTTCGTTTGTGGACATTGTCAAACACACACACACGCACACGCACACGCACACACTGGGTGGCAGGTGAACATGCAGTGGCTCGGGTGGGGCTTACCTCTTTGTGTGTGATTCAGACCATTGACCTGGAACACATTGGGTACTGAGAGAATACAAACTATTACACACACTCTGTCTCTCACACACACACACACACACACACACAC